ATTTTCACATTATTCTCTTTCCCTCTCACCTCTTTCAGTTTTTACATGCACTCGGATCATAAAACTGGTGTGTTATGGCTTTGTAGGCACATGTGACTTTCTCGACAATTTCAAAGATGTCGATCTAGATACGCATTTTTCTTTGAAAACTTCCTCCCCCCTCATACTTTCAGAAACCTTAACATTAAATTTAGTATTTCAAAAAATAATTTTCAGAATATTAATTTTAATATTTTGAAAAATACTTTCTAGAATAGTGAAATTAGTATTCAATAAAATATTTTCTAGAATTGTGTTTTTTATATACTTTTGAAAAGTATTTTTTAGAACATTAAATTTACTGTTTCAAAAAAACTTTATGAAATTATGTTAAATAACACACTTTCAGAAAGTACTTTCTGAAACACTAAAATTAGTGTTTTAGAAAGTACTTTTCGAAATAGTAAAATTAGTGTTTCGAAAAGTATTTTTCAAAAGTGTGATATTTTATATAATTCTGAAAAGTTCTTCCCAGAATAATAAATTTAATGTTTTAGAAAGTACTTTCCAAAAGTATGTTAAAAATATAATTCTATAAAACACTTTCCGAAACACTGATTTCACTAATCCAAAACACTTAAATTATTTGGAACACTGACTTTAATGTTGTATTTTCTAGACATGTAAAAAGGGAGAACTGCTCGAAGAAAAAACACACATTTGACTCGACATTTTTGAATTATTAAGGAAGTTACACGTGCCTATAATATTGTTGGATACTAGTTTTATGTCTTGGATGTGTGTGAAAACTAAAAAAGGAGAAAGAAAGGGTAATATGTTGAAAACTGAAAAGGGAGGGGGAAAAAGTAATGTAAAAATTGAAAGAATTAAAATTATCTAATAAAGTAGGTGGAAAGTGGAGTGAATATAAGGTGCATGTAAAAACTAAGAAGATGAGGGAAAGTGGTGTGTGGAAAAGAAAGAGAAAGTGTTAAATTACATGTTGGAGGTGTAAAATTAAAACCCATCCTTTGGATCATCACACAAAGTTCTTTATCACACAAGCCCCTAGTAGTGAAGGGGAAAGGAGGAAGATGTGTTATATTCCATATGCAAGTGGAGTAGGGAGTATCATGTATGACATGGTTTGTAGCAAACTTGATTTGACCTATTCTATCAGTATTGTTAGTTGATTTATGGAAAATTTGGGTCAAGCTCACTAGGAGGCTTTGAAGTGGGTACTAAGGTATGGTTCTCAAAAATCTGGTTTGAGGTATAAGAAGACAATTTGATATGGAAAAACTATTATGGGGCATGTTGATGTTGACTATGCAGGAAACGTGGATACCATGAAATCATTATCTAGGTATGATGGAAGAGCATGGGCTAAAGGCCCAACTACTAGAGTTATGGCCAGGAGATTACTTGAAGATTTGACTACTTCAGAGCTTAGTGGGCCCAATGGGCTTGGTGGGCCTAGGGTGCTTCTCACTTGGGCTTTCATTGATTAAACACCATGTTCTATTGTATTTTCTTAGTATAGGAATTTACTTTGATGTTGGTCTTGTATCTTGACCATAGATTAGGGTTTAGGCGTTTTGGGCTTAATTTTGGGCTTCTTGGGCTTTAGGCTTTTGATACCCAATATTGGGCTCATTCTTCTTCTTGTAATTTTTCCTATTCATTGTATTCATTAGACCAATGTATTTCGGTCATTAGATTAGGATTATATGAAGAATACATTAATAGGAGAAATAGGCTACATTTAAGCATCATTTAGAAGTAATTTGAATTGAATTTGAGTCACATGGATGACATGGGGTGGATCCGGCCATGTGAGCTTCAAATTCAATCCAAATCACTCTTAAATGACACTTAGATGAGGGTAGCATCCGTGTGATCATGTGAGGTGGCCAAAGTTTGAATTTCAAATTCAAATTTGAAATTCAAACTTGGCGCCACTTTGGTTCACTAAAGGTGCCGCCAAGTTACCCTAATTTTCTCCTATAAATGTAACTTTTCTCACCTTGTAACACACTTTTGAATATATGAGATTTCTGAATACATTTCAGCCATCTTTCAAGAGTCACCGAAATCCAAGAGAGAACCATTGAGAGTGCCTTCAAAATTCTTTAGGAAAACCTAGTTTCCTTCTCTTTGAAGTGAGCAATCCCTTGAGTTTTGAGCTTGGATGCTTCCCTCTAAGGTTTAGACCTTACCTTCCGCAAGTGTTCTTCACTCTAAGGTGTTCAACATCTCGGTCTCATCTCCATTGAAGAGGATCCGTGCCTAGAAGGAGCTTGGAGGAGTTCATTCATCACTTCTCCTTCTTTCTTCTATCAAGGTACGTGTTCACTTTGTTTGGGACTATTGTTAGTTGGAAAACAAATTTACAATTTGTGGTAGCTTTGTCTATAACAAAAGTAGAATATATTGCTCTTACTGAAAGAGTGAAGGAAGCTTTATGATTAAAAAGAATGATTGGGGAATTGGCTATATAACAAAATTGTATGACAGTTCACTTTGATAACTAAGTGTTATACACCTTGCAAATCCTCAAGTTTATCACGAGAGGAAGAAACACTTTGATATAAGGCTTCACTTTATCAAAGATGTGGTTGAATTTGGAGAAATTTAGATTGAGAAGATTGCATTTGAAGACAATTTACTAATGTGTTTACAAAATCTCTTTCTACATCCAAGTTCAAGCATTGCTTGGACTTGATCAACTTTGTTTGATATTCATTTTGAAGTGGAAGAGCAATACTGTTGTAAAAGGGTTCTTTTTTGTAGATTTAGAGTCAAGGTTGAGAATTGTTGATTATGACTCAAAATCTAATTATCATGTATATGCTTTATAAATTCTTTTGTTTGTACAATCATATAGGTTTAGTTTATCTCCATTCATCTGATAGGTTAGTTTGTCCCCATTCGTCTAATAGTTTTAGACTATACATAGTTTGTCTTTCATTAGTTTGATGCGGGTTCGTCTAATAGTTTTAGACTATACATAGTTTGTCTTTCATTAGTTTGATGCGGGTTAAGTTTGTCCTATTCCTATTTTATAAGACTTAGTCTTAGTGTTTAGGGTTAAGTATGTGTGCGTGTGTGCGTGTGTGCGTGTGTCTGTGTCTATGTCTGTCTGTGTCTGTGTGTGTGTTTGTGTGTGTGTGTGCGTGCGCGCGCGTGTGCATATGTTTGTGTAGAGATCCTTTCTAAGTATGATACAAGTACAAAGAGGCAAAGCATGAGAGCAAAGTACTAATTGTGAGCAAGAAAAATTAAAAAGAAGATACATAAAGAGAAAATGAGTATTTTAGAGAGACCAAAGAATTCTTGAGAAGAGCAAGAAATTGCTCTATTTTAAAAACTTAATTATTTTTAAATATATAATAAATTATACTCTCTCCTAAAGTGGTTGAAATACATAAATTTATTGTATTTTCTTCTCTCAATTTTTCCATTTTACTATTACATTTTTTTCTACATTTACAATTTTATGTTCTCGCTGAATTTTCTCATTTCCACGTTTTTTGGTTTATTCTTACCCATATAATTAATTTATACAATTAACTGGTAACGATTTCTTTTACGAGATATATACAGCGTATTTGCTGTATATGTAGCATTATTTAAATTTTACTTAAAAGTTGAAAAACAGTCCTCCAAATAAGCAATACGTTATAGAATCCAATTTAACGGGTACTTGTAGTTGTCGATAACCAAATCACCTATCCATGTGGTTGCCGGTTACGCACTGCACCTTCCATTTTAGTGGGGAGTTGTAGACAAAGCATAGCTAAAAGTCAATAAAGCAAGTGCTAGCCACCTCAAATTATCTTCCAAAAGCTAACCAACTTGGCAACTAGGGCATGGTAAATAGTAATTACTACTGTACACACCAGCACTTTTGTTCAATTTTAAGCCGGAATTATTTTTTTAATGGACATCATTTACGTTGTGTTTCAAAAACTGATAATAAAAAATTAATTTATATTTACAAAATATGATTTTAGTTAATTAAATATTATTTGAACATCAAACCTGAATTTTCTCTTATGCATCATTTACATTTTAAAAACAAATTATTACATTTTTTTTTATAATCATATTTAAGAAACAAGAAAGGGGAGTATAAGAGTACTTTCACCCGCTACAAATTACATAAAACTCAAAAAATAGTGATATAACTCATTAAGCTAATTTACAAATGAAATACTTTCATGACTCATCCATGTCGTCAACCACTTCCATATTATTTAGCAGATTTAATTATTTTAAGTGCATTACACATTTCATTATTAAATACTATTTTATTCCAATGTAGCCGCAAGCTCCACATAGTTGCATACCATTGTTTTTGGTTGCATATTAGTAGGAGCTCTTTTTTAACTTTTTCTAATAATAATTGTTATTATCAATTAAGTATTTTAAAAAATCAACCTCTTTATATAAAATACAAATAGATATTTTATGCTATAATATTTTTAGGATTTGTTTTTTGATGAAAGAGATTTTAGAAATCTTTTTAACTTCATATCTAACATCATATGTTACAATATAAATTATTTATCCTAAATATAAAATATAATTTTTGTCCCCCCCCGCCGAAACGGACATTGGCATTCGCGACGATGGTTGGACTCTTTTTTAAGTTTTGAAAATTGGTGGATTGTTAGAACGACTTATTCTCAAACTGAGACCTCATCGAGCTAACAATTTTGTTTAAATGACTCTCACCAATCCATGTTAATCCCAAGCGGGACCCTCCATGGATTAGTGGTTTTCGCAAAAAGAAGGGGTTCTTGGAGTCGCCACCAATGTTTTACTCAAAACATTGGAAAAAGATATAAGGCAATTGATTTTCGCAAATCAACTTCGGCCATTACAACCAGAGTTGGGTAAGGGAGTCGGTTACGTGTGAGGAAGGTGTTAGCACCCCACAACGCCCCTTTCGGGTTCCCTATGACAGATTATTTCATAAATAATAGCGTAAA